ACCGCCCTGTACTCACCACAGCAGAACGGTGTGGCCGAGTAGAAGAACAAAAGTATTCTTGATATGCTCCGATCGATGCTTGGAAGCAAAGGGATGCCCAAAGAATTCTGGGCGAAAGCCGCCTGGTGCGCAGTGTATGTGCAGAATAGGTGTCCACACTCAGCTCTCGAAGGGAGGACACCTCAGGAAGCATGGAGCGGGCAGAAGCCGACCGTGTCGCACCTAAGGGTGTTCGGGAGCATCGCCTATTCACATACACCCGACCAGAGGAGAACAAAGTTAGAAGACAAAATCAAGAGGATGGTCATGGTCGGGTATGATGAACAAATGAAAGGGTATCTTCTGTATGACCCAGCCGAGAAGAGAATAGTAGTGAGCTGAGATGTTGAAGTAAACGAAGCTAGAAGCTGGGATTGGAACAAAGGAATTGAGGTCGAGCAGTCACAAACTGAGTCTGATCCAACCTTGATCCCGAGGACGTCATATCTAAGACTGGTCAAGCAAGACCAGACAGGGTCTGGCTCAGATAATGACAATGAAGAAGAAAAGCTCAGAAATACAGAAGCATACAGGAGCTATACGAGTCAAGTCCAGAGATGCATATGGTATGTTTACTTGGTGACAGTGAAAACATAACATATGAGGAGGCCGAACGGGATAAGAAATGGAGGCAAGCCATGTACGAAAACATTCGGGCGATAGAGAAGAATCAGACCTGGGAATTCGCTAAAATTCCAAAAGGGAAGAGACTGATCGGGGTCAAATGGGTGTTCAAGAAAAAATGCAATGCCGAGGGTGTGATCGAACGCTACAAAAATCGACTAGTGGCAAAAGGATATAGACAGCGGGCCGGGGTAGACTATGATGAAGTTTTTGCACCAGTAGTCCAGATGGACACAATCCGACTACTGATCGCACGAGGCGCTCAAAAGAGATGTCCGATCTACCAAATGGATGTTAAGTTCGCATTCCTGAATGGGACTATTGAATAAGAAGTATATGTGGAGCAACCGCCCGGGTATGTAGTACCCGGACGGGAGGGAAAAGTACTAAGGCTGAAGAAAGCGCTATACGGACTGAAACAAGCTCCAAGAGCGTGGAACAACCGGATCGACACATACCTCAAGAAGAGTGGCTTTATACAATGTCCATGCGAGCATGCTCTTTACATAAAAAGAAGCCCGTTCGGGAATTTGTACGTAGCCTTATACGTGGATGATCTCATATTCATGGGAAGCAACCAAAATATGGTGACACAGTTCAAGGAAGAAATGAAAGCCGAGTTTGAAATGACGGACTTGGGCCTGATGAAGTATTTTCTCGGCCTAGAGATTGAGCAGTCCGAGCGAGGAAACTTCGTATGTTAGGAGGCATACGCAAAGGAGATCCTAAAGAGGTTCAAGATGGAGGATTTCAAGCCGATCGCAACTCCCATGGAAGCAGGAGGAAAAATTTCAAGGTTTGAGGGAGGAAAGAAAGTTGACACCGAACGGTATCAAAGTCTGATTGGGTGCCTGAGATACTTGACAAATACAAGACCAGACATCTCGTTCAGTGTTGGAGTAGTCAATAGGTTCATGGAAGAACCAAAGGAAGCGTACTGGAAACTTGTGAAGTGCATCCTGAGATTCATTCAGGGAACCATGGCACTCGGTCTGTTCTATCAAAGATTGAACAATGTGAACCTGGTCGGGTTCTCGGACAGTGACTGGTGTAGAGACATTGATGATCGGAAGAGTACGAGTGGGTACATTTTCAGCATTGGGAGCTCTACTTTCAGTTGGTTGTCCAAAAAACAACCAATTGTGACACTCTTGACCCGTGAGACCGAGTATGTGGCTGCAACATATTGTGTGAGACATGCAGTACGGCTGAGAAGATTGATGACCGAATTCTCGTTCGAGAGTCAGACCGAACGGGAGGGAGCCTGAACGGGAGGAAGACCAGAGGGTCTTTCAAGGGAGCAACCGACGAAGGTTTTTGTAGACAATAAATCAACGATCGAGTTAGCAAAGAATCCAGTTCATCATGATAGGAGTAAGCACATTGACGTGCGATTTCACTTTATACAGGAGCAAATAAAGAAGAAAGAAGTAGAGCTAGAGTATGTTCCAAATCAAGCACAGAAGGCGGACATATTCACAAAGCCACTGCCAACAGCATTGTTCGAGCATGGCAAGTTAGAGATCGGACTTAGAGATCGTCGGGAAATTAAACTTAAGGGAGGAATTCGTAAGATATTAAATTAAATTATTCCGATACATTTGGTTTAATTAATCTAATATTACGGTAAGTTTAATTTTTGGAAGAGTTTCCTTTCTAATAGGATTTGAAGAGATCAAGTTTGTGTTTAATTAGGTAACTTGTTTCCTTACCTCATACTCAATGCTCTATATATACAATGTAATCGTTTGTTTAAGAGAGAGAGAGAGAGAGAGAGAGAGAGAGAGAGAGAGAGAGATTGAATAATACACCACTCTTACAAAATAGTTTTGTTAGTTCCGTGCGCGTGTGTGTGGCGGCGACACCGGGCACCGGACATATATTCGGCCGGTCGAGTAGGACTTAATTCCAACAATAAGTACCTCTAAACAACTACTACTAGCACGTAGGGATCTAAACACCGCCTCTCCCAAAACTCATGGCCGCACAAGATTTTCTTTGACGGCGATTACAACGGTGGTGAATTCTTGTGACGGTATTACCAGCATCTCCTGACCTTTCTTTCCTTCTTGCATTTTTTTGGTCTGTTCGGTCTTTTCCGGTTTTGTTTTTCTCCCTCAACGGTGGGGAGTGTTCTGGTACTCGTCATTTTGATCGAGTGTTGTGCTCTGTTTTAGGTCTGAATTGTGATTGTTTCGATTTAGAGTTCTCGATTGTACCTTCCGAAGGTAACCTTCGTCTTTGATTAGTTGTCTCAAGGAGCGGAAGATTTTAGGGTTGCGATTGCTACCTGTGGCAGAAGTCACTTCTTGTCTCAACTGTTCAACACGACAAGAAGAAATCATGGAATCCATTGTTAACCAATACGACATTTTCCTACACAATGGCTTCTCCTACACTTTTGATTGCTCAATAACAGAGAATGCTATAAATAAGGAGAAAAGAGATGAAGAAGATGCAGTATTGCCAGTCCGCCCCCTCCTGAACCGCCGCCGTGGAGGAATCGTGTGGTTAGGGTTTGGAAGATGTTGTTTCAAGTTCGGCTTTATTTAATTATCTTGCTATTACTTTTATTGTTCGGTTTGGTTGTTTTCCTTATTTATACTATCAGAACTCTAGAGTTTAGGTTGAGTGATAAAAGGTCTATTACGCCCGTCATTTGCTCAATTAAGCTCATTATAGGATCAATGAGTCATATTGCTATTTTGGGTGATAGATTCTTAGTCTGATTCGAGGACAGATGATCTTAAAGGGTTTCTTGTCTCTTTGTATCTTACCTGAATTTTGATTATTCAATATAAGCCAAAAAAAACTTAAACTGATTGCCTTGATGAAAAACATGAAAAATTGTCAAAAGTGAATTAGTCTTATTAATACTTCAAAACAAACTAACTGGACTCTCAAACTTGGAAAAACCTTTCAATTGATCGATTTAGCTTTGTAAATAACGTAACAGGTTTCCCGTTCAACCAATTGACTTTTTTAGAGTTTTTCCTAAAATATTTAAAAAATAAATTAATGGATAAAAATATAACTAAGTAAATTGTGTGCATACTTTAATTTGAACAAAATCATACGGACTAATCAGGGGATTCAGGGCCGTTCTTTTACATACATCACATGTATAAGACCTAAAATGAAATTCAATTTTTTTAGGGATGGGTCATATAGGGCCTCAAACTTGAAAAAAAAATGTCAAATAAGGCTATATTTAGAATGCTCTGTCCGGCCGACGCCATTTGAGACGGTTCCCGGTGGAATTTTTTGATGATTTTTTTTGGAAATCTTATTCATTAAGTCTAGTTTACTCATATCAAATTTGAACTAAAACTTCAATCGGGAAGGCATACAAATGAATTCTTGAAGATAACTGTGCAGTTAAAAGATCATCAAAAATCATACGGACTAATCAGGGGATTCAGGGCCGTTCTTTTACATACATGACATGTATAAGACCAAAAATGAAATTCAATTTTTTTAGGGATGGGTCATATAGGCACAATAAAAGAACAGTTATCTTCAAGAATACATTTGAATGTCTTCCCGATTGAAGTTTTAGTTCAAATTTGATATGAATAATCTAGACTTAATGAATAAGATTCTAAAAAAAATCATTAAAAAGTTCCACCGGGAACCGTCCCAAATGGCGTCGGCCGGACAGAGCATCCTAAATATGGCCTTATTTGACATTTTTTTCCAAGTTCGAGGCCTTATCTGACTCTTATCCCATTTTTTTTATTGTGAGCCATTATCTTCCAAATTCATTTTTTTTATTTACTACAATCTTTTGAAGCACAATATATGATATATATGGTCTATATATCAATCGCTGCTTATAAGTTAGCTAATCTCCTATTTTGATTTTTACTGTACAAACTATAATATAATGTGGTAGACGTACAAGATCAACTAATTTTGTAATTATTAGAGAGCAATATAATGTGAAACAATTTCTAAGTCAATCTGAATACCGGGGGTCGTCCACTAATTGCTGTCTTCGAGTGTGGTAGACGACGTAAATACACAAACACCGAACATAATGATTAACAGATCGGAAAATTGCAATTTAGGTGCTGCAACTTTAGACTATTTTCATATAGCTAATTAATATTTGCGATTTAAGGATTTTTCTCTCTGAAAAGTACACTTTCCGGCGATAGTATACCAGAGAAGATGTCGTCAGTGTCTGATTTTTCTGCCAAAAATTACAAGTTACAGGACCAAATTTGCAAGTGATTAAAATTACAGAACAAATAAAGATAACGGCCTAAAGTTATTGCAGGACTAAAATTGCAAGTCCACCTTAAAAAATTAATCTTTGTCAAGGAATTATCGGAAGAAAACTGATAACTTTATTGTGGATTAATTGCAATCTAGTCTCTATATATAATACGGAATAACAATTTCATTTCCACTCACAATATTCTCTATATCGCCTGACTTTTGGGCTCTCTGTCTCACTCTCGTCGAAATCAAATATGCCTCCAAAGGTAAGATATAATATTATATAGGATGGTTAATGTTGAAAGATTTATTCCACTGTGTATATATATTTGCAGAAAGAAGGTGAGAAGAAGGAGGAGCGGTTCTCCTACAAATGCAAAATCACACTCAACTGTGATTGTGACGGGTGTAGAAATGAAGTCTTCAGAACAATTAAAAAACATTGTGGTGTTGCAATCCCAGGTAACATTAGATTTGACGGAATTTCGATTTATTAGTTTTCTTTAGCATAGAAAACATGTCTTCTTGTGCACATCAGACTCTTAGTCACTTCATTCGAAAAGAAATTGTTTTAGATCATACTGTGAGTTAAATCTTACCCTTCTGTCGAGTCGAGTGTGGTGCATCTGGATCGGCAATTCCACCTTTTGGGTTGGATTGAGCCTAGAAAAGATACGTTAATTAGGGCGTCAAAGTCCAACTATAATAAAAATGTGACGCTTTAATTAAATCATTGATAATTGATTGTAATAAAATTTTGTTTAGCTGATGAATATTGAATGCGAGCAATATGATGAAAGTAGATCAAGTAAAGTTAGGACCACAATGCCCCCATATAAAAGTACTGATTAAAACCTTTAGGCATCTTCGATGCATCATCACTGTCAGTGGCGGATCATGCAACCAAATATAGGATGTTCAAACATTAATTGGTCCAACAATAACATTGTTTGGTCCATCAATTGAGAAATGTAACTTTTTCAACATTAAAATCCTAAAAAATAAGGTTAAGGGTAAGAAATATAACATAAAAATCAATATATAAATTATTACATCAATTCTATATATATGTATAATTACAGTTTATTTTCAAAATTTTGAGTGTTCACATGAACACCCTTGAACAAAAGTGGTTCGCCCCTGATCACTGAAGTCGTATCCTTGGACTCTGCATCATCGAAGCTTTCTCCGTGGACACTACATCACCGAAGCACCTTCTCCTTGGATACTGCATTGTCGATTTTCTTCTCTAGAACCGTCCGCATCATCGATTCGCTTTTCCTCACTAGCAGTGCGATCGAACATCTTCGTCGACTTCACCGCCTCATTGTCGTTGCATTAGAACATTGCCATCGCCCATCACACTCGTCGTTCTCTAGTCATCGTCGTCAGTCACCTTCATCGTTTTCTTCGTGGTCTTCAGGAGGCGATGTGAGTCATCGTCCTCGATGAGCGGTAACCGCATGCATCAGAGTGATGACGGGCAAAAATGTTCGATGGCGACCATGGACGACGATCCACATCTAGATCCATGGCGATACGGTTAGATCTGGGGGGGCAGTCGTATGGTCATGTGGGCATCGATGGGGGTTGGTGTTGCAAGTGAAGGTGTCGGCGGTGGGGCAGTGACTATGGTGCAGCCATGCATGCAGGAGAGGGGAAGGTGTATGTCATGCCCCGGACCCACCCGGACACGTCAATAATCCGTCGCACAGTACAAATAGTCAACCACAGTTCAACACATCCATACTATACAAGGCGTCTGGAATATCATTCACACATAGTACATCCATAAACAAACATAATGTAAAACATTCATTAAACCAGTGGAAACATTAATACAAGTGTTCAAGCCACACATGGCAAACTTAGGCATACAAGCCCTCAAATAATTATTCAAAAATAATATCCATGAGCATTATTCATATTGTTTTCAAAACAGAAACGAAAGAAGCACAAACCAAGTCTTCTTCCTTTGATCTCCCCGAAACAACGGGCGGTGGTAGCAACCTTCAAGTTCTACCTGAAACTGTGAGGTGGCCTCCCCCGTGAAGGGGAGGTCAGTATTTTGAAGCATTTGAAAAGTACAATGAAAACTACACTGTATATAATCAATATTTCAATTTCTAAGACCCTCAATCTAGGGTGATACTACATTATAGGCTGTAACCATCGGTTACTCTATTTAAAACCTACTTACCTTATATATAAGGTCAAGTAGTCGGCCCGTGGGCCCATGCTTACCTTATCACGTCTTTTCACCATGGTAGAGTCACACTCACCGATATCATTCTGTCGTGCTAGAGGCTGACTCTAGTCACTCCATTTCATTCTAGAGGCTTCCTCTAGTCACTCTACATTATGCTAGAGGCTTCCTCTAGTCATTTCCCGTCGTGCTAGAGGCTCCCTCTAGTCACTCTCCGTTATGCTAGAGGTTTCCTCTAGTCATCTTACATTATGCTAGAGGCTTCCTGTAGTCCCCATTCAATATGCTAAAGGCTCCCTCTAGTTATATAATCAAATTCCTAAGCAACTTCTATGCCTAGGATCACTTCATATTGAGTAGCCTTTAAGGCTCACCCCTAGCTTAACTTAGCATTTACACATTTCTACCTTAAAGTATCTCATAAGACTACTTAAGGTATATCTTTCATAATCCAAGCCCTTAGGATTTATTTTATCATTTTCATGCCAACACTCCAACTATTTTTTCAGTAGTCAAGTAATATTAGAACAACCAAGTTCTTAATTCATAGTCATATTGCTCATCTCAATTGATTTTCCAATCCAAATATGATTTAACCCCAATATCAAAAAATATCACTTTTATCCATTCATGATTTCTTTACATGAAGTAAAAGTATATTTTATCACAATATTTCACAATTAATTTCATTATCATGCTATCATATTCATAATACACAATCATACACATTCTCTTTTAAATTTGTATGTCATGCTTCATTTACTCATATGCAATAGTATTTTCATTTAGGCATTATTAACCATTAATAATCCATGAAAATCACATTTAATACTTTAGGTAATCTTATGAAATTAACTCACTAATTATAAGCAATATAGTCGGTCATCCTCACCTCGGATGAGCTTTAAGAAGTTCTACCCTTCTCGGCTGAACTCCGGCGATACCACTAGGGTTTGTGTCAACGGTAATGATTGTATTTTCAAACCTTCGGCAAACGCCTCACGAATGAACGTTGTGCCCCGATATCGATAAGGATTCGTGCATCTTTCCCATTAATCCTTAGCATTCCTACATTTATAAGTTATGTAAGATACCTTCCCTGCCATCTCTATACATTTATAGAGGTTTACTATGTCCACACACTTGTTCGGGATAAAGGAAAGGTCTTAACGTTGCAAAACGTCATGAAAAACCCCATGTTGGGCAGCCTGGGTGCCACGCACAGCATGCGTAGGAGGCACGCACACGTGCGTGGCTTCAGTCTTCACCTGGGGCTACTGCCCTCCATGCACGGGGGACGCACGGAGGTACGCACAGAGTGACGCACGCGTGCGTCCGGGTATGCACGACCGTGCGTGGATCAATTTCTCTCCGGAAGCCCACTGCCCCCGTGAATGGAGGGCAGTAGCCCCAGGTGGCCCAACCCAAGCGAAACCTCCCGGTTTGTCCCCAGGGTGGCATGTACTCAGTCCCACAACTTCCATTACCCATATAAGCCTAAAAACATTCAAAATTTGATGTATTACCCGCGACAGAATCCGGGTTAGCTTGAGCGTCCGCCTCCGTCATCGCATAAACTCTAGCTTGAGTTCTCCCTTGGTTCACGGAGGGTGCATTGCTTGTACTTGCCCCGTCGTGACCCACACTTGCATTTGGTGCCCCACCCCAGCTTCTACTCACCGTGGTTGCACTGCTTGGCTCTTGTGCTCGGTTCCCACCAAGTTGAGGACAGTTCGGCCTTATGTGCCCTGTATCTCCGCATTGGTAGCACCGTGGGGGATCACGACATTTGCCCTCGTGATTTGTCTTGCAATTCCTGCACTTAGGCTTCGTCGAGGCTTGTGACCCCGAATTCTGCCCACCCATGCTGGATTCCCCTTCGATGGTGGTGCGGGTGTCCTGAAAGATCCTCCTCCCCATGGTTCCCCTTTTTGTTAGAACCTTGGGGGGCGTGGTTTTCCCACTTTCTCTTCTTCGCCTCCTCGGCGTTTTTCAGCTTCCTTTCCTCCCATTCTTTTTCTCCCTTCAAGTCTTGCTCAACTACTTGATTGAATGTCATGTTAGGCAATTGTGTTGCCCTCTCATGCACGTCCAAGTCAAAGGCATTCCAGAAATGGTTCACCATCTGATTCTCATCGCAAATGTACTCCGGAATGAATTCAGCAAGTTTTCTGAACTCGTGTTCTAGTTCTTTCACAGTGCATTGACCTCCTTGGGTCAAGTTCGTGTACTCCCTCCTCTTCATGTTTACTTCGAAGTCAGAGTAGTATTGGTTAAAGAACTCTTGTCGGAAGTTGTCCCAAGTGACGGTCTCACCGTACTTGCCTTTAATTCTGTCCCACCACGTGGACGCCATGCCTTCTAGCAACCTCGTTGCTACTCTCATTTTCATGTTTGGCGGCAGCTGCATGTCAAGGTCCGCCTCGTTGAATCTTTTTATCCATTCAGCCGCAATGAAGATGTCTCTCGTTCCATCGAACGGTTTGCACCCCAAATCCCTTGCTTCTTTGAGGTATTTCGAGATCCTTATTACTGGGACCTCGACACATCTTCCCCCTCGGGGTTCCTCATGTCCCCTAGGGCTAACACGGCTTCCTCTTCTGGATGCCCCTCCCGAAGCACGCCTTGTGCAGCGCCTTTGGCGATCTTGTTGGTATTGTCGAAGCAATTCCTCAATCCTCTCGAGAGCGTCATTATCATCGCTCTCTTCACTATCGTCATCATATTCCCTATCATATGGGGTCTCAACCAGCTCAGTTCCCGGTTGATAAGTTGAATCCTCCTCGGACACATAGAACTCGTTTGTGGTCTCCACGTGACCGTCGCTCACAGTCTGGGCTTGGCCTCCACGACCTTGTCCCCTGGACACTCTAGAAGCCCCTATACTGCCACGCTCGGACTCTCCCGGTGCCCGGCCAGTCAAGTTCCTCCTAGTTACTTTCCCGGTATGCTCCATTTTTGAAAGAAATTAAGAGCGAGTCATTAGACTCGTATCAAGTGTCAATTGACGGATAGGTACTTAAAGACATCCTTTAAGTACCAAAAGTTAAGGGTACCATCTTCACAATTAGAGACATTGCAACTCAAGTACCAAAGGTTCTATAAGTACAAAACTTCTTATGCTCATGGTTTGGCTCAAATCATCGTCATACCAATTGTTAAGGGTACCATCTTAACAATTAGAGACATTGCAACTCAAGTACCAAAAGTTCTATAAGTACAAAACTTCTTATGCTCATGGTTTTCAAATTCATTT